TGATATTGGCAAAGAACTGAACTGTGTTAGGTGTCAAACATTCGAAAAGGGGAGGGGTTGGAAGATTTTATGAAAAAAACATTTTTTTCACCGTACCATGGCATCAGTTATTTTTCCCAATGGGTGCAGTGTTGAATATTGTATAAAGGCGCGACAATTTTCTTCTTCTTTTTTTCAGTTTTTACCTCAAATTTTAATTCGCAAAACATTCCAATCCCTCCAAGAAATTTCAAATGGGTGATCCCCTATATCGTTTTAATTCCGTATACTTGACTGCTATAGTTATATTTCACTGTACCTGTTCCTCCGAGTACGTTGCTGGTATAGGGTCAGGTTGTTCATCTGTTGGTCCCTTTTGTCCAGGGAAATGAAGAGAACATATGTAAGTGTCCTTTTTAATGTTTTCAACGCCGAATCCCTGGCGACCACAGGCGGTAACCCATTTCCTGCATTTCTCGATGTTCAGATGCGGCTTTGGAAAACGAATGAAATGCACGTCTTTCATATCATCTCGGTGGCTGCATCGTGAGTCACTACGACACCTGCCATAACAGCAATGTTTAGCTACCATGGTGTATAAGCAAAACTGAAACTAATGTGCCTACGGTGCACTAAAATCATGGAAGATTACGGCGACACAGCTTACAACAACATGGCAACCATGAAATGTTTGTCCGCCTGACCTCGCGCATGCGCATGCAAAATCTGTTTTTAGCTCGATCATAAAAACCGCGATCAATGCTATTGTGGACTTCCATCACTGTTGCTGCAGTTTCAGCAGCTTCGATTGGCCGATGCTCGGCTATGTTACGACCAAGAAGCTGCCGGTCAATGCCACAGGGGCCTGACGATCTATTACTGTCAATAAATGGACGTCTATTGGGCGGACCTTAGCCTTGCTCAAAATAATAGAAATTATATAATTAATACAAATTTAAATTTAAGTATCCATGCTCCGAAACCCCCGAAACTTGTTTCCGGCCAATCAGCTTGCACTATATATATAACAAAGGAAAAAACAATACATGCACATATTTTTTTAGCTGTCGAAAATCACACCTCAAAATACAAAATACCTTGTCCAAACCAGTTACGAGTACTTATACTTAAAGGACACTGGGCTATTGCAAAATGTTGATCATATAAATCATATTTTTCCAAATTTCACTATTTAGGACAAAAAATGACAATTTCTGTTTCTTGTGATGCACTTTCATACGTAAACTCAAAGTTGTATTAATGAGTGTGAATTTTGTTAAAACTTGGGACATACAAGTATGTTGAACGTAATGAGACCTTATTGCATGTCAGTTAGTTTCTTCGGGTCGCTGGCTTACTATAACTTATCACAAATGCCCTTTTCGTTTTACATTTATTGACGATTCTATGTCTGAATTTTACACTCTGTTTTGATTTTGAAATTCCTGTGCAATAATTGTGACATTTTTATACATTTTTACAGAAATATAAAAACAGTAATATGGATAAAATTCTTCAAGGTATAGCAGCGTCTAATCATCCAGACAATGTGAAGAAATTTCTCATTCAAAAATTTGCTACATCAGCCAACAAACCTGTGAATCCGGAAGTATGTAAGTCCATACTAACAATTTCTGCCAACTGGATCCTCCAAGATGAAACTGCTGTCCTTCAAGAGATGGGACGTGTGGTCTTTCAGGCGTGGGCCAAACAAAACTTGAAGATCTTTGAAGAGTTTTTTCATTACAGCTACTTAGTTAATGTTATGTCCTGTGCAGTTCTTAATCCAAAGCCAACTATTGAGTTTATCCATGATTCTATTAGACTCCTCCGTGACAAGACACCAGTTTGTAAAGTGATCCAAACCAGGGCTATCAGCCTGGCTAGGGACTGTGCACAACTTGATGTCTGTGCTGCACTCTGTAAATTAATGATTGAGTTTCCCGAATGCATTCCTCTGGGCGACTTTGGTGCTGCGTACTGTGTCACCTTGATTCAAGCTGTCAGCCGTGTTGAATTTCCAAACAGTGAACTCGCTTTAAAGACTAGATTTAAAGATGTTAATGCGATTGGTACGCTTCTTTTTAAAATCTGGCACTCAGATTTCAGTAACATCATGCCGTCATTGCGTGAAATCTTCACTATTCTTACTAGAATTAAAAGAGACGGTGATGATCTGCCGAGGGAGCCATCTGTAGCCCTAGGATGTCTAGCTCAGTATGTACCCGTAGAGATGATTTCGCTTGTGACGAAGAACGCCGCTTCTGATCCTTCTGTGTTGGATGCAAATATGACTGTTGCCTTATCTAGAATGATTGATTGGCTGTCCTGGCCTGCCGTGAAAATTATCGATAAATGGATTGTTGCGTTTCTGAGGAGTCTTGCGTCAGTACAGAAATTCACAATATTGATCAATGTCACAGTAGCCACTGTTGAAAAGGTGAGAATTCATCATAATGACCATTTTTTTTTTTCACTATAGCGTGTAGTATAGGAAAGTATAGTACAGTACAACTTAGATTTAACGTTATTGTCTGGCATAATAAGTCTATGTACCTGTACTCGTGAACTAAAAACTGTTTCTTTGTGTATATAAAAAAAAAATCATCTTAAAACAATGACATACCAAAACGTGTAATTACGGCTGTCATCAATGTAACTAATACAATTCCTATTTGAATTGTAGGTTTTTTCACGGTTATATTATCCAATTGTAAGAAGCAGTGCTCTTGCAGTACTTACACATATGTTACTTAGTTTTCAACACTCACCAGAAGCCTTCCATAAGGTCAGTATATAATCTAAAATTTGCAAGTGTTATGCTAGTATTATCCTTGAATGGAAAGTAAGTGGTTTAAAACAGCCTGTGATTTTACAAATATGCTTATGAATCAGATTTGATGTCTGTTATGAACATACTATTCCAGTTTCGACCACTAATGATTTTCGATATCGCCAGATGTATTACACTTCGTAGTGATATTTTATCAAAATAATCAATTTCAGTCATTTTAGAGTTGTCAAGTCTGAATTTTTAATTTCACAGCGTCAAATATGTACCATAACACTATTAGGTTTTTTACTGTTTGAGCATATCACAGTGTTTAGTGTAGAATAGCAGTTAGTGATATTTCACACTACCAGGTAGACGTCACTGCTGTTAATATGATGGACCATGATCATGTGTGATACACCAAAGTACTACCACTCTTTGAGAAAAATAATTCTCTCCAGTTACTTTCTGATCTCCTAGATGTTGCATTCCAGGTTCTGTACTGGCTGTAATGATCATAATTTTGAGATTTAGCATCAAATTATTAAAATGTGTTTTGTAGGTGGTTGGACACCTGTCTGATCTTGTTGGTTTTCTCAAGAAAGAAGACAGTACATCAAGTCGAGATTGTCTTAGTAGATTATCTGAATTGTTCCACTGTATGATCTATCAGCATGCTGGATATCCTGACTTATATGAACCAGTATTAGAGGCATTTAAAGTAAGTACTTAGATATTTAGCTCTACTGTCAAAAGAGATTACTAATCAGAGCTGTTTGTATTATTGACTATCTGTACCTTAATAAACTTACAATAGTCAAAGCATTATACAATTTTTTAATACCGATAATTTGAGTTCTCTGTTTGCTGCAGTACTTGTGCCAGTACTAATTGTGTCAAAGAAGGAGTTTATGTTTTTATCCCTGCTTTACTGGCATAGTCCGATTTCCATAGCTGTTTTTCATCAAAAATGATCCTGGATATAATGTACATGTGTCCATGCAGATGAAGCAAATTTTGTACTGTATTTTGTATTTTATGAATACTTTGCCAACTCTCTATATCCAACCAACTACAGTGAGAAAATCAATTTGTACTTTATCTAACTAAAACTGGGTACAACTGCATGTTGAATGTGACCTGAATTTTAAATATGTTCCTTTGCAACACACAACTGGTGGCTTAGTAACTATCCATCTTAGTAATCTATTCAGAATCTATTTTGATGAACTCATGACAGTAAACTTGTTTGACTACCGCTATCATGACCTTGACTATGACCCCCCCCCCCCAAGCAACAACGTTGAAATTTACGTCATTGTGTCACAGCTATTTTAATTTAAAATTTTCTAGGACTACCCCAAGCCTGATAATGAAGTAATTAAACGCAAGCTGAAATCAAATGCATGGACATCTCAGGGACGAATGATATTCAGTGATTATTCTAAGTTTGGTCCCAAGTCTGAGACTGGAAAGACTGGGCTAGTAAACTTAGGAAACACCTGTTATATGAATAGTGTAATTCAGGCACTGTATATGGGAGATGGGTGAGTATCTGTATTTGTATGCGTTATAATGTATATCAGAATTTATGTTAAAAGTACATTGTATACTTTAATGGACCGTACTGTACTGTGATATATATTCTGGTATTTTGTTAGTAACTTTGAATTCAGCAGGTAGAATGCTGACAACTGCTCCTGAAAGTTATTTGATTTAGTCAGGCAACAAATGTTTGTGTTTAAATCTTCAAGGATGAAACTTGTGTGTTGATTAGCCTAAAAGGTCAAATGGAATCCAGTAACGTTGGTATTTGTCAGTCAATACTTTCTGCAGGAATTTTTTTAAGCAAGGGAACAGAGGCGCAGCGCCCTCATGAAATGGCCATGTTCCCCCTTACCCCGCGGAGCAGATCCTCCGGCAACCACAAAATTCTGATTGACCAGGGATCACATGTGGCCACAGTCTTCATCTGTGACCTGTCTGATAGTAATTTAGGCACCAAGGAATCCATAGAATGATCCATTTTAACCGATCTCCCGCACTTTGCGGCGCCGCTGAATTGCAGTGTTTTTTTTCTAGAAAAACCCCTGCTTTGTGCATTCTTATCCTTATAATAACCTCAAGTACAATCATTGAGTGAAAATCTAAATATATTTGATTTTTTAGATTCAGAAGAGAGGTTCTGAGCTACTCTCCTCTAGTACAGCAGCGTGTCATGCCAAATATACAGAATGTGTTTGCTTTTCTTTCCAACACTCAGGTATGTGTAGTGAAATTTTGCCTTCCTTTGTATTAACACATTGTCTGCTAAAATCTCTACTCTGTCATCAGCCAATGTGTGTTAAAAATATTCTCTACTTTGATTTTAAGATTAAATGTTACTTTTGTAAAAAGTTTTATAACTTTTTACGTTTCATGTATCCATTGTAGATGAAAGAAAAGGTATGCAAGGGGAAAATGTCTCTATTGTTTCATGATTGCATGCTTTACTACTAATTAACATCAAAAATTACCCAAATCTCACATTTTCATCATTATGGAACTGCATATCAGTTGTGCGTGGACTGATTTTGTTCGAACTTGGTACATATGTTGAACATAATGGTACCTTGATGCTTGTAATTTCATTTTTTGGATCAGTTTCAAAATTGCTGCTCGGCAGCGACTTTAGTTTTAAAGTATACAGTTTGAATTTCATATGTTTGACATGGCTGACCATTCAAGTTCAATATTCACACAGCAGGACAATAACTCAAACAGTTTTATCCAATCTCTTTCAAACCTGTATATTTTATTAACCAGTAGTTAAACAATTTGATCGTCTTCTTCTTATCAGTCACTATGAAATGGCAATCAACTATGTTTTAAGTGTGACTTGCTTGTATAATTTTTAAAATATGGGTTAAAATTTGGCTATAATAAAACAATTGTGCTGTAGAAATAATTGCACAAAATAAAGATATTCATACTGTTGTTAATTTTTTTGAAATTGAAACAAAAATGGGCGAATGATGGGCATTTTATTTTTAATCATGTCCATGTTCATTCCTCATTAATATCACCTGAAGTATTGTACTCGTAGGTTACGCCATAGATTTTGTTAATATGTGACTTTATCAAATTTGTTGAGCTGATAGTCATTTTGTCCAGAATCCTAAAATTGCAGTAAGTAAATGTGTCTGAGATAATTTCTTTCAGATGAACAGGGCTTTGTATCAGGATCATACATACTGGGTTGCAGGTGCACCTCATCTTTTTTAGGATTAGAGAAAAAACAGCCAACAATTATTTGTTTGTTTGATGATCATTACTTAGTTTCTCTGTGTGTATGTGTGATTATAATCACCACATTTTGTCAGTCCATCCAGTAATACTGCATTAAAATTGACATACTGATGATGCATAGAGCCTTTGTGGACATACAGATGTGTCTTATACAATCTCTGAGATTGATTTCCGCCTATCCCCCCTGGGGGAGTTCTTTTAATTTTATGATGTAGATGGGCAAGTGTAATTCACAGATAGATCACCATTGTTTGACACCCCCTCCCATGTGAATTTAAATTAGAGGCATGACAAACTTTAAATTGTATTCAACGCATTATTCTGAACTGATATTTATTAAAACTGCAAAATTTGAAGACACTGCCTTCATCATATTATTCAACACAAGAGGGCGCTTGACTTGTACAAAGGGTCTATTAGCCACTTTAGTCCAGAACTAACAATACAATTACAAAGAGTTGCAATTGCTGTATTCCCTATCCCAGAATCTCAAATTCAGTCATTACACATATGTTTACATTGTAAGCCCCATGTAAAGATTTATTGTACCATGGCAACAAGCATTCATATTCATGAGATGTATGGTAATGTAATTTTAGTGCCTCATTCCCATCCTCAGACATGCATTTTCTCAAACATACTTTAAACAATTTTAGCAAGTGCAATAACATAGACATGCACCTCAATTTGTTTTACTTTCAATTGTTTTCTTTGTTTTCGTTGCTATGCCTTAAACCAGAGAGGTCGTCACGAAACACGTGTTCGAATTTGATGTAAATAAACAATCTGTTGTATACGCTGCTTGGGGCTCAAGTATCAAGAACACGCTCGCGACAACCCCTCCACTTTAATATGATGAGCACAAAGAGAACTTTCAAAAATTTAACGGAGATTGTGTCGTTTTCAATGACTTGTTTAATTTATAGATGGCAAGGCAAGGCAAGGTTGTAATAGTTGTGCTATGTTTTTTTTTTTTGTAGAGGTCTGCGTACTCACCGTCAGACTTTTTGAAAGTCTCCCGACCACCGTGGTTTGAAATGGGTGCCCAACAAGACTGCTCCGAATTCCTCAAATACCTACTTGACAGACTTGATGAAGAAGACAAGGAAAACCGGAAATATGAAATGAGTTTGAGACGAGCCAAAGAAAAAATACAGAGAGTGAAGCAAACTCAGAATGTGGCTGGTAATTCGGAGGAGGGCGGTGATGACCAGGTGGTTCCTAGTTACACTGCTCAGGAAAACAGTGAAGTTAACGTGTGTGTAGAGCCGAGTACATCAATGAGTGTTGATGGTGGGGATATGGCTACACAAGGAGATGTGTCTGTGATGATGGACACTGTGAGACCCAGCGAGGCGGAGGTTCCTAGTACTAAGGATACTAAGATTAGCAGTGCTTCTGCACACTGTCAAAGAGGGATTCTTCCAAAAAGCCAACATGATTGTACCAGTGAGGAAGCCTCCCAAGACACTTCATCCAGTATTGTTGAGAAATATTTTGGTGGAAAGTCGGCTACCATTACAAGGTGTTTGACCTGTAATCATGTATCAACAAGAGAGGAGTCATTCATAGATCTACCCCTGGCATTTCCTGAGAAATCAAAGCCGAATGCTGGTAGTAACCATGACAACAGCTGTATGAAGGGAGGACAGGGTGAGATTGAGAAAAAGGATGGTGATGAAAACAATTGTACATTTACAGAGAAGAAAGATGTTGAAGATAAGAAGGACGATGTTAGTGATTCTCAACGCAACACAGTGGCATTGGAAGACCTTATTGGTCACTTCCTTGCGCCAGAGTTACTTGAAGGAGAGAACCAGTATTTCTGTGAGAAATGTAAAAGTTTACAAGATGCTGAAAGATTTCTTGAAATCCGTTCAATTCCACGTTTTCTTATCCTAACCCTGTTGAGGTTTTCCTACGATGTCAAACTCCATACTCGGTCTAAACTACTTACTGATGTTAAATACCCCAAAATTCTTGACTTGCCGATGAGAGGTATGCACCGGAAAAAAGACAGTATGTTAGACAAACTGACAATGCATGAAAGCAATACTGATTCAGAATCACCATCATTGAAAAGACGTTGTCCGTCATGTGAAAGTGGCGATGACTTACTTGTAAATGACAAGTCTGAGCTCAGAAACTATGCTTTATCTTCAGTCATTGTACATTCTGGTGTGTCATCAGAAAGTGGGCATTATTACTGCTACGCAAGACATACAACGCCTCCACCGTCACCATCAGCAACACAGACCAAAGATACTGAATCAAAAGCAGATGACATGGATGATTTACCAGATCACTGGTATCTTTTTAATGACAGTAGGGTTTCCTACTCGACATATAACTCTTTTAGTAATGTGACAAAACACTTCTCAAAGGACACTGCCTATGTCATCTTTTACAAAAAAATTCCTACGAGTGACGAGAAGTCACAGGCTGTATTGAATGATCCTCCATTGTCAAGGCAGCTAATGGACACTGTTGCCAAGGACAACCAGTTGTATTTACAGGTGAGACAATGAGACAATTTCATAAAATTGTCTGTCATTATGATGGATTTTGTCCAATCTTTTGAACTGTGATATTCTTGTCTTTCTATTAAAGTGCCTGTGAAATGGCTGCTATTTTCACACCTAAAATTATCCATTGATACATAAATATTATTAACTTTTATGTGTCTAAGCATAAATAATTTTTTTTAAGTGAAAAAATGCATTTTAAACTCAGTCTACGGCAAATTTATTTTTGTGTATTTTAAAATGAGGCTCCTCATTTGCATACAGAAATTCCCCCTGTGGCGTCAGAAGGGGAAGTTGCTGGGTAGCTTGCATTGCCGATACGTGTAAATAAGGCAAATTTCTTGTGCTGTTTTCTCGTCTTCGAATAAATTGCCACTTATGTACTTGTTCATCGAGAAAGAATGGACCATAATGAACACATAGTATCAAGTTTGTTGCATGGGGTTGAGTCAGATGCGAAATATGTCCAGTCTGATGTAGCTAGTCACTGTGTTCGTCACCTCACCGGCACACGTTTGTACACTGTAGCTGGACTCTCCGGCATTGGACAAAATCAAATTTGACGCCTGAATTGTCTTGTTATTTAGCAGGTCACTACATTTCATCGATCGTCTGAGTAAAAAAACACATTCAAAATTAAAATAAAAAGAGAACATATTTTGATATTCGAAAACATTAAATTAGTAATTAATAAAATAGAGAAATAATTAAAAAAAAAAAAACGACAAAACACAGTTACTAAATAAATGACTGCTGCGTGGAAATAATTTGTTGTAATGGTTGAACGTGTCGGGTCATGACGGGGACAAGTGCGTGAATGGTGGCATTTAATTGGATAACAAAAATAATTAAGAGTGACTCACATGCAGACAAATTCAGAGTGGATTTAGCGTGATTTTCATAATTATGACACATATTAAAAAAATACATTGACAGCCCAAGCCCGGATTCTTATTCCATAAATTATTACGCAGATCAAGCTGCAAGTAAAGGCAACAAAGGTGTGAATTCAAATCCAATCACCGAACAATTCAGACACTTTTAGCCTGCGAAAATGAAAACAGGCTGAGGGCTGCGTAATTTCCTGTTTGTTCAATGCTTCGTTTTCGTGTCATTATCAAAATTACTGCTACTTTTTACATAAGGGTGGTCTCTATAAAGTGATAATCAGGGTCGCAAAAAAAATCAAATCATTTGAAACACTTACCCGACGTCTCTCTCCCTTCTGAAATCCGCTACTGAACATTGCTCTGCATAGTAATAAAAGATTGAAAACTTGCTAATAATGTTGTACTTCATTGATGTTTCAAATTTATATTTCTTACACAGGAGCAAGAATTGGAAGCTCGGACTTTACATTTACAAACTTCGAGGGTTGCTGCTGGTGCTAGTTACCGACAACGAAGGTTTGACGGGGATGACGACGACCATGGTCCACCCGGTAGCTGTGGTGGATCTGGCACAGGAGGATTCAATGTGCCTTCAAATAGATTTATTTTCTGAAAACTGGAAGTATTGTGCAGGATATTTGCACATGGGCATTTCTCACACTAACATTAATGAGGACATGTGAATATGGGTTGTGAGAAATACTAATGTGTTTGGTATTTCTGGATGTGAATGTACAGAACATGAATTTGGTCTATTGAAATTGTAAATGATATGTCTTCTGCCTGAAAGTTTGACGAAGCAGCAAATTTGCATATTTTACTACATTTATTTGCATAATTCGTATTTTGTTATCATACCATGTTCGTTACACTCTGGTGAATCTATGTACAGCAAATCATCTAATTATCACATTATGCAGATACAAGATTCTAATTTATACAATCAGATTTGCATTATGATTTACATTTTTTGATAAAGCAACTAGTTTTGTTTTCTTTTACAAATTATGTCAAGTAATTGTTCTATAGTTAAGCGAGATTTAGTTACCTATACAAAACAAATAATATAGTGCTAATTTTTTGACATATGCATTTAAATTGTTAATTTAATCTAATTCAATTAAAGTCTTGCTTTTGCAGTCAGTGGTAAAGGCAGTATAAATACTTCAATTCATCTCACTGATTTTTTTTTTTTAATTAATATTTGCTGATTTGTCAGAAAAAAAAATGTGACATTGAAGCCGTTAACTGAATAAAAACCCAGTGTTAAGAAAACAATCAAAAGTTGTTAAATATAGCGCCCTCTAGTCTCTGAGTTGAATTCTAGGTCATAAGTTATACCAGTGTTATAGTATTTTCCCTGTTTGGTAATAATAATTTAAACATTAGGAAGTATGCAGTTGATGTCTTGACATTGTGGTATTTGAGTATGAAGCATGATTTCAATACATACCAAGAATGAATTTGAAGTGTATTTGCCATGGAAAGCTTCTTTTCTTTTCAACTTGACTGTTGTTCTTGCACAGTGATGGGAATCATTTGAGTCCTTGCGTATTTGATCAATGATTAAAGTATATTTGCAGGTACAAAACTGATTCCATATCTAGAGGGACTAAGTGAAATGTCCACTGCTACAAAATCTTGTAATTATTGTAATTGTGCTGGCTTGCTTAGACATTCTCACCTTATGAATATTTATTCGTTTACTAGGCCCCTTAGGTCATGGGAAAAAAACTCCCAGCTACCCATTACATCCAGTTTAGGGAGACCAGTAGAATATGTGAGAGCCACTTACTGCTAGTGATAAGCTATTAAACAATTTCCGTCATGGTTTTAAAGATGATGTCCAGTATTATAATACCATGAACACATATTCTACATTAAAGATGCAATATGGACGAGAAATTGAACTTTTAATCACAGTCGTTTGATACTACATGCTATAGAGGAGATTGTAATGTGATTTATCAGAAGATTTATCAGTGTTTCAATGCAAAGTGTAGTTGGGTGTATTTGAAGGCTGAATTTCAGATTTCTGTCACTATTAAAATGAATATTTTGTTTATGTTTGTGCTTAACCCCATGCCTACAGTACGGCAACCGAGGTGGCTCACAACATGGCATTTTATAAAACCATTTTTACAATTCATTTACATTTTGAAAACTCATTTTTATTTGTTAATCTTTTTTTAAACACCATTTTCGGTTCTGGAATCGATTTTTAAAACCCACTTTCGTTTCTGGATTCTGTTTTTATTTTAAAAACCAATTGTTTAAATCCATTTTCATCTTTGAAATCAGTTTTTATTTTCCAAATTCATTTTCCATTTAAAATCCGTTTTCATTTTCAAAATTCATTTTCGTTTTCATATTCCATTTTCGTTTTTAAAATCCATTTTCATTTTTAAAATCCATTTTCGTTTTCAAATTTCATTTTCATTTTAAAATCCATTTTCATTTTCAAATCCATTTTCATTTTCACTTTTAATCTGTGA